GTGATTTTTAAGGTGGAACTGCTTTTTTCAGTGCTTTTAGCGGTTTTACCGGTAGAAACTTCCTCAACAATGAACACCGAAGGAATCCTTCAGTGGTTTTGTTTTGATGTGAGAGACTACCTACTGTCAGAAATTACATTACAAGTACGTTTAAGCTCCTTTTGTTCTATTTATGAAAAGCAGGACTGAATTTAATACAAACGACAGAAAAGGGCTCAAAGACACAAACTGTGCTTTCAGTACTTTCTTATTTAGGATCACTGTATAAAAAGCCTGTGAACTAAACACATAAACACATCAGTCTTCACTTTGGTTTATGGGTGTGGTTTGTTGCATGATGCTTTCATACAAGAAGCATTGTTGCACACAGAAATGTTCTGTCCTGGCTTCACTGTAGCAGCACATCTCTACGATCTCTACCACCATGGAAGGCAAGTCAATATGCAACTATATATTATAATAATCATCATTTTAGCTAGTTCCAAAATCCGGTTCTGGACTTTTTTGTGGCATAGAATCACAGTTTATAATGACATTTAAAATGACTTTTTTACTTTACTTTACTTGTCCTTGTTGTATGTGGGTATTTATTATTTGGTTTGTGGTGATGTCGGGACCCCCACTATTGGCAACGCTTAAAAAGGTTGGGACCCACTGATTTACAGCACACCAAAGGTTTTCTGTGCAATGGCATCGAACACAATTTTAGAAAACGTGAATTGTTCATTTTTGTTCTTCTGCTCTAAACCTACAGCAACCTACCGCAATAATAAGGAGATCAGGATTCTGTTGGTGGGGAAGAATGGAGTTGGGAAGAGCGCCACAGGAAACACCATTCTGGGAAAACAGAGCTTTGAATCAAACTTCTCCCCTAAATCTTTGACTGAACACTGTAAAAAGGTCTTTGGTAAGGTGAATGGACAAAAGGTTTCTGTCATCGACACTCCAGGTCTGTTTGACACCAGAACTTATGAAGAGGAAACGGTTAAAGATATTGTCCAGTGCATTGCTTGTCTCTTGCCATGCCTCTCCTGGACCCCACATCTTCCTGGTCGTCATCAAACTGGACAGATTCACAGAGAAAGAAAAGAAAACTGTGCAGAAGATTCAGGCAATCTTTGGAGAGGAAGCAGACAAATACAGTATGGTTCTCTTTACCCATGGTGACCTGCTCAAAGGGAAACCGATTGAAGAGTTCTTGGAGGAAAGTGAAGAGCTGCAGGAACTTGTGGCCAAATGTAACGGCCAGTACCACGTCTTCAGTAACGACCTGGAGGATCGTTCTCAGGTCAGAGAGCTGCTCAACAAGATCAGAGATATAACAGAGAAGAATGGAGGAAGACATTACACCACTGAAATGTTCCAGAAGGCAGAGAAAGTGATTGAAGAGGAGAAACAACGAATCCTGAAAGAGAAAGAAGAAGAAATGTGCAAAGAGCAGGAGGAACTGGAGAAGACAATGAAAGAAAAGTACAAGCAACAAATGAGTGAAGCAAAGGCTGACATGGAGAAAAAGTACGAGTTAAAAATTGCTCATGAAAGACAGGACATGAATGATAGGTTAATGGCAGAAAAGGCTGACAGGGAGAGGGAGAATAAGTTAAGGGCAGATCGCGAAAGAGAAAAAGAAGAGAAAATAAAAAAACTAAAAGAAGAGCAGGAAAGTCGGGCCAGACGGAAGCAGAGAACAGTAGTCCATTACAGATGGTACTTGAGTTTATAAAACAAGTGGTGTACTATTTTTTATTTTATTTTAAATTACTTTTTGACTTTGTGATGCAGGACTGCAGCAGATGAACTGGCTGCTGTGACTTTATTAACATTTACATTCCAGTTTTTGGTTTCCTCATTGTGCCAGGTTTGTGATAATAACAGTTACTTAATGAGCATTTGATAATGTTATTATATTCCATACCATAATACTGATTTTGAATTTAATGGATTTGGATATCTGTTTTATCTTTTCTCATTTTATAAACAGAAGTGTCCGATTTATATTTATAACAGAGCCCTTGAGAATATCACAAACAGTTGTGTAGGGTAGGGTTCCCCCTACCGTACCCTTTACTTTTTACAGTTGAAATACGTCTTTGACTTTGTGGACACTGTGTCATCTTTAACATCCTGTGTGCTGTAATGTCCTCTCCTTCATAATGTCAAATAAAGCAAACCTCACTGGTAATAAATGTACAGGATGATCAGTAAATGATGAGTAGATTGTATTGAGTAGAATATGTTACTAAGGTGATCATGTAATAAAGCTGATAATTAATGAGTCATGCTTTATTAATATCATTCAGAGTTTGAGTCTATAAAGATTATTGTCATTGTTCAATAAAGGGAAGTTGCTAATGCTAATCAGAGATTGCACCAAACTATGTTGGTGCAATCAATTAATTTTTAACAAGCATTTATTAAAGGAATAATAAAAGTAAAACAGATAAAAACACACAATGTACTATCTCATTAAAAGAAACTAGGCTGAAGAATAAGGGTGTGTGTGTGTGTGTGTGTGTGTGTGTGTGTGTGTGTGTGTGTGTGTGTGTGTGTGCATCCATGGAGGGTTACTTGCCAGAAAAGGTCCTCTTACCAGATGTTTCAGCTGAGTATGAAACACGTGTTGGTTAGAGGCAAAGAACATGGAGGAGCAGGAGGGTTTGATTTTTGCCTTAAACTGTCTATGCCAAATAAGATACTAACAGTCCAAAGGAGGGAGGAAGAAGAGTTGCCAGTGTGCTGCGTCGACCAGCTGGCGGCCCTGTGAGCCAGGCTGGAAAGGGTTGTGGTTCCGAAGTCTAAACATCTTTGCTGTGTCCACTGATGCAGATTGCAAGAGGAAAGGCGTTTCGCTTGTTGCTCTGCAGAGTTAATTCAATTCAATTCAATTCGATTTTATCTGTATTGAATCTCTCTCCTGGGTCCTTTTCCCTTTAGGTACCATTCATGCCACTATAGACCCCTGATGGTCGGAGGATGTATCGTATTTTCTTTCAGAGGCCAATATAGACAAATGTGCAGATCCAAGTTCGTGAAATATCACATAATGACAAATGTAATAAACTATAAAGATATCATGAAAACTTCTGATGAAACTTGATCTGATGCACCTCTCTGCAGGACATTTGTCAGTGCCCTCCAAAACTGATAACAAACCACTGTCATGAAAATTAGGGGAGAGAGAGTGTATTGTTAGGGTTTGTTCAGGGGTTTCTTTTAAAAAAGCTGCCTGCTCTGGCAATTATATCTGCTTTAAGGTTCAGAAGAGATATTGTTTTCATGTAAAACAAACTAACAAGACTCAAAGGCTACAATCTATATGTGCACACGATGCTCATGGGAGGGGTGAACCCGGATGGCGGTTAACACAAGGAAATGAGGACGACTGGATATTCAAGCTGTGCCAGATTAAAATAAAATGGAACTCAAAACCAATGGCAAAAAACGCACTAAACACTAAAATTAATTTTAAAACAATATCTTTTCCTTCAATTATGGCTATTTTAACATAGATAAAAACATTATGATTCATACTCCAAATGTATTAGTTACATTTGAAAGGGTTAGGGGTTGGGGTTTGTAATAGCATATACAGTATGTGTATACATACATACATATCAACCCTCATCAACCCTCTGCCTGCTCCAGTAGTGTAATGCCTTAACATATTGGAGTGTTCCTGGCTCTTACTTTAGTGTAATATTTTCTTTTGTTTGTTTGCTACATATTATGATAAAATGTAGATGTGGGAACTAGAAATACACAGTCACTAACTTATGTGCATTCAAGCTACCAGGTTGGTAGAGTAGGCCCCTGGTACAATGTTTTCTTCCTTATCAATGAAACCCTTTTATTTCTATGGGAATAAAAGTAAAAACACTGTATCACAGTGGTGGTGAAGGTCAAACTCAGAAGTGTTTAAAGAAATATTTGTTGAACTGCTAACTGGGTTTGGAGCACAGATGTTAGTTTGACATGAGACACTGAGACTAGAGCCTTGGTCACACTACAAGACTTTCATTGTTGTGAAATCTTTGTACTGTCCAGACTACAAAACCTTCTGTCTTGTAGTTGATGTGGTTTTCACGCTGAATGATTGATCAGCAACAGGGGACCACACACTACAAGATCTTTCACAACCAGTTTGTAATTATACTCATTATCAGTTTAAAATCGCCTACAAGCTGCCTGCACTCCCCTTAAGAAATAAAACATTTAACAATTCCTAACATGTCTATAAAACATACTACTCTAGCACCATGAACTAAAGGCCATTATCAGTCGACAGTCTTCAATTATCAATTCAGCATCAACATTATCCATAAAGATACTGTATTCTATACAAACTATGCATTGTGTCACAATGCGATCCTCCTCACGGGAGTATGCGCCACATTGCTAAATAGTCATTGAGTGGAAAATCAGGGCTAAAATCACGTAGTGTGAACTAACCATAAGAACTACTAGACAAAAGGCACCACAGAAATGCAGGATGACTGGATATTCAAGCTGTGCCCGATTATAAAAATAAAATGGGACAATCAAGGGTGTGAATCATTCCTGTCAATCATCGAACGGTTAGATTAAAACACAACACATCAAAGTGGAAACTTAGCAGGGAAATTAAAATGGCAGCTCAAACTAAATGGTCTCAGGTCAGAGAGCTGCTCAACAAGATCAGAGATATAACAGAGAAGAACGGAGGAAGCCATTACACCAATGAAATGTTCCAGAAGGCAGAGAAAGCGATTGAAGAGGAGAAACAACAAATCCTGAAAGAGAAAGAAGAGGAAATGCGCAAAGAGCGGGAGGAATTGGAGAAGACAATAAAGGAAAAGTACGAGCAACAAATGAGTGAAGCAAAGGCTGACATTGAAAGGGAGAAAAGGTTAATGGCAGATCGCGAGAGAGAAATGGAAGAGAGGGGGAAAAAATTGAAAGAAGTTCAGGAAAGGTGGGCCAGACAGTCAGCAGAGAGCAGTAATCCATTCGTGAGGTTTTTTAAGTTTCTAAAAAAGTTATTTTTGGATGACTTTTTGACTTTGTGATGCAGGACTGCAGCAGATGAACTGGCTGCTGTGACTTTATTAACATTCACATTCCAGTTTTTGGCTTCCTCATTGTGCCAGGTTTGTGATAATAACAGTTACTTAATGAACATTTAATTACATAAAGATTACCGTTAGTTTAGATTTTTGCATTTGAATTTTCTATCCTATCGTTTGAGGAGCGTGTTATTATATTCCATAATACTGATTTTGAATTTTGTGGATTTGGATATCTGTTTTATCTTTTCTCATTTTATAAACGTCAGTGTCCAATTTATATTAATAACAGAGCCCTTGAGAATCTCATAAACAGTTGTGTAAGTAGAGGGAACCTTTATACATAAAATACACAGTTTACTTTTTACAGTTGAAATACGTCTTTGACTTTGTGGACATTGTGTCATCTTTAACCTCCTGTGTGTGCTTTAATGTCCTCTCCTTCATAATGTCAAAGAAAGCAAACCTGACTGGTGTTAATATTAATAAATGTACAAGATGATCAGCAAATGTTGAGTAGCTTGTATTGAGTAGAATATGTTAGTAAGGTGATCATGAAATAAAGCTGATAATTAACGAGTCATGCTTTATTAATATCATTCAGAGTTTGTGTCTATAAAGATTATTGTCATTGTTCAGGGAAGTTCTTGTGCAGGGTTAGTCTCAACTGTTTCTTACTGTATAGGCTGTGTACAGTATGTTACTGTAGATTCTTCTGGGAAAATATTACTGGAATCTAAATACAGTAAGACTAACTTACAACAAAACATTTGGTTTTATTGTAGGTTTTGACATCAGAGCTCAGGATATTTGGCCTTGTTGATTTTCAGGGGTCCCATCAGAACCGACCTACTACAACAATGAGGAGATCAGGATTGTGATGGTGGGGAAGACTGGAGTTGGGAAGAGCACCACAGGAAACACCATTCTGGGAAATCAGAGCTTTGAATCAAAGTTCTCCCCTAAATCTTTGACTGTCCACTGTGCTAAGGCCCGTGGTGAGGTGGATGGACAAAAGGTTTTTGTCATCGACACTCCAGGTCTGTTTGACACCAGAACTGATGAAGAGAAAACAGTTAAAGATATTGTCCAGAGCATTTCTTATGCTTCTCCTGGACCCCACATCTGCTCGAAGAGGAATCGATTGAAGAGTTCTTGGAGGAAAGTGAAGAGCTGCAGGAACTTGTGGCCAAATGTAACGGCCAGTACCACGTCTTTGATAGCGACCTGGAGGATCGTTCTCAGGTCAGAGATATAACAGAGAAGAACGGAGGAAGCCATTACACCACTGAAATGTTCCAAGCAGCAGAGAAAGCGATTGAAGAGAAGAAACAACGAATCCTGAAAGAGAAGAAGAGGAAACGCACAAAGAATGGGAAGAACTGGAGAAGAAACTAAAGGAAAAGTATGAGGAACAACTGAGAGAAATGAAGGCTGACAGGGAGAGGGAGAATAAGCTAATTGACAATCGTGAGAAGGAAAGGGAAAAGGAAAGAGTAAGGCTGAAAAAAGAGCAGGAAAAGTGGGCTAGAGAAGAAGCAGAGAGCAGCAATCCATTAAAACTGATATATGAGTATATTAAACGAATGGTGCGTCGTTTATTTGTTGGATGAGATTTTTGCCTTTTTACCTTGCGTCAGCTGTTGTGACTTTAGTAATGTTCACATTCCAGTTTTTGGTTTATTCATTGACCTTGATTTGTAATAAGTTACTGAATGAGCATTTTATTAAATAAATATTGGATTAAAAAAAAAATTAAAGATTTTAACATTTGATCTTTTTATCCTTTTAGGAGCTCCACATAATAATGCTAATGGATTTTGTGGATTTGGATATCTATTTTATCTTTTCTCATTTCATAAACAAAGTCTGACCAGAATTTGAGAATCTCAAACCACTTTTGCAGGATAGGGTGAACTCATAATAACCCTCATCACAGCAGCTATGGCATAAACAAGAATCCCAGGGACCCAGAATACTAGCTGACTCTAGAACTGGACCTGGTTGCCTACTGTTATGACCTGTGACCTCTCAGGCTATAGACTGATCACATACTTGATTTTAATAATTTACACATTGAACGTGTTGGTTTGTTGTGTTTGATGTCACTACGTCACTTTGTGGACACCCACGGTCTTTACGTCAGGGACCACAGTTGAAATGTGTCATTGACTTTGTAGACATTGTGTCATCTTTAACATCTCATGTGTGCTTTAATGTCCTCTGCTTCATAATGTCAAATAAAGCAAAACTCTCTGCTGTTAATCAGAATCCAAAATCTGAAAATCTGTTTGTTAGATTTGTTCTACTCACACAACGTTAAAGAACATAAATAATACTTATATTACAACATCCTTCAGCGTGCCATCGTTAGCCTACAGTGTGTAAGTTATCCTTCATTACATCATTACAGTTGAATTTTTTTAATGAACATTTAATGCAAATTCTTGCCAAATCTTTCCTAACTTTGACCATAAATTGTATTGTTGCTAAAGTGTTCCCTTAACCTGCTCTGAATCTCTAAATCTGCTAGAGGTTTCCACCTCTTAAAGGGAAGTTTTTCCTTGCCAGTGTCGCCAGGTGCTTGCTCATGGTTGGAACTCTTGGGTCTCTGTAATATAATTTTACAAGGAGTATGATCTAAACCTGCTCTATATGAAAAGTGTCCTGAGATAACTTCTGTTATGAATTGGCTATATGCAAATTCAATTTAATTTTAGCAACATACTGTAAAATACATCAATGGTAACCCTGGCCTGTAACAAATACAAGTAAGTTGGGAAGCTGCGTTTTTTCTGGATAAAAAGCACTATAATGTTTATATTCCCAGTATGTACAAGAGCCTGGTTGATTTAGTTCAGTGAGTAATTGCACGTATGTTTCTTTTAAAGCCATTGCACTTTAAAATTAATCGCTGTGAATGTTCTCGTAAACTTCACTGAAATAAAAATGATCAGCTCAGAGGGCAAGTGTTTTAATTTAAAACTTTTTCTGTTTTCACTCAGACAAATTTTTGTAGTAGTCCTTTTGACAGCAGTGATTTGGGTGCAGTGTTTTGTTATTTATAATTCTTACGTTAATGCACAAGGCGGTGTACTGTTTGTGGAGACCATTTTAAGCTGAATCCTTCCATCTCTGTTTAAGAACATCATACAGGTCCTGTTGTTTAAAACTTCTGCTGTTTTATATTTTGTAGCCTTATGTTGATTTTTTTTATTGACTAAAAAGAAGCCCAGAATAAAATGAATGTATTATGTAAATAATACTTATATATTTCTCAAAAAGTAAAGAAAAGAAAGTAAAAGGAGCATTAAAAGTTGACAAAACATTTTTAGAGGAAATTTGTAATTAGATGAATAGGTAGAATTACTATGAGTTTCTGAAACAGTAGTTTTTACTGATTATACTTACAGACTATACAGAAGTTCTATTATTTAAAGCAGGACTGAATTTAATGCAGACAAAGGGCTCAAAGACACAAACTGCTGTCAGTACTTTCTTATTTAGGATCATTGTATGAATCAGCCTGTGACCTAAACACATAAACACATCTAATCACTGTGGTTTATGGATGTGGTTTGTTGCATGACGCTTTCATACAAGAAGCATCGTTGCACACAGACTCTTAACTTTCTGTCCTGCCTTCACTTTAGCAGCACATCTCTATGATCTCTACCACCATGGGAAACCTAATCACCAAATACTGTAAGTCAATATGCAACTATATTTATAATCATCATCTTTGGTGATACAGGTGACATTGGGACCTCCATCTATAATATGCCAGTCAAAGCCTTAATCATAAAGTTTTATTGATCTTTTCTGTGATCAGTTTTAGTGATTTAATTTAGTGCCCTGTTTTGTATTTGTCATCAGTTTATATCCCTATGATTATATTCCTTTAATTTGATCTTTTATGGTGTATTTACATATGAGTCCTAGCCTATATCAGTTCAGTTCACTATTTTTACTATGCCAGATATCACAGTAAAGAAAAACAAACGTTACAGGAATAAAATAAATGTTTCCCTCTTCCTGCAATATTCTGAACACCATAATAAGACAACAACAACAACAACAAAGCTAACATTACATTACAAATTGAGCAGGGTTATTGCACAAGGAACAAAGGAGTGTTTACTCCTATTGCACTTGAACCTTGGAGCTGTAAACCAATGGCATGAGGGAAGAGTTTGAAACTCAAGGTTCTTTACCTTTGTCGGTCTTATTGTATTGACCTTGGTGGTGTTTAATTTGAGAACGGTGTTCTTATAAATACATAGAGCATGAATTGTTCATTTGTTTTTCAGTCTTCGGGCCTCAATCTACAACAACTGACAACAATACAATGCTGAACAATACAACGTACCACAATAACGAAGAGATCAGGATTGTGATGGTGGGGAAGACTGGAGTTGGGAAGAGCGCCACAGGAAACACCATTCTGGGAAATAAGAGCTTTAAATCAAAGTTCTCCCCTAAATCTTTGACTGTCCACTGTGCTAAGGCCCGTGGTGAGGTGGATGGACAAAACATTGCTGTTATCGACACTCCAGGTCTGTTTGACACCAGAACTGATGAAGAGAAAACAGTTAAAGATATTGCCCAGAGCATTTCTTATGCTTCTCCTGGACCCCATATCTTCCTGGTCGTCATCAAACTGGGCAGATTCACAGAGGAAGAGAAGAAGACTGTGCAGAAGATTCAGAGAATCTTTGGAGAGGAAGCAGACAAATACAGTATGGTTCTCTTTACCCATGGTGACCTGCTCAAAGGGAAACCGATTGAGGAGTTCTTGGAGGAAAGTGAAGACCTGCAGGAACTTGTGGCCAAATGTAACGGCCAGTACCACGTCTTCAATAACGAGCTGCAGGATCATTCTCAGGTCAGAGAGCTGCTCAACAAGATCAGAGATATAACAGAGAAGAACGAAGGAAGCCATTACACCACTGAAATGTTCCAGAAGGTAGAGAAAGCGATTGAAGAGGAGAAACAACAAATCCTGAAAGAGAAAGAAGAGAAAATACACTAAGAGCGGGAGGAACTGGAGAAGAAACCAAAGGAAATGTTTGAGGAACAACTGAGGGAAGTGAAGGCTGACATGAAGAATATGAATATGTTCAATAACAACCTGGAGGATCAATCTCAGGTTGGAGAGTTGCTAAACAAGATCAGAAATGTAACAGAGAAGAACGGAGGAAGCCATTACACCACTGAAATGTTCCAGAAAGCAGAGAAGAAGATTGAAGAGGAGCAACAACAAATCCTGAAAAAGAAAGAAGAGAAAATGCACAGAGAGTGAGAGGAACTGGAGAAGAAACTAAAGGAATTGTTTGAGGAACAAATGAGGAGGGTAAATAGGTTGGAGGAGATAATTGAATTAAGGGCAGCTCGTGACAGAGAAACAGAAGAGGACGTAAAAAAGCTGAAAGAAGAGCAGGCAAGGCTGGCCAAACAGAATGCAGAGGACAGTAGTCCATTACGCCAAGTGGTATTTGGGGTTACTAAAAAAAGCGATGCCATATTTATTAAAAAACTACACTGTTAGAAATTTCTTGTAATTTTACAGGAAATTCCTGGCTAATAATTGCCTTAAATTTACTTAAACAGTATACAGGACTGTTACTGTAAACTAACTACAACAAGGTACTGTACTTTATACAACATCCCTACTGTAATTAATTACAATACAATCATGTAAATTTACTGGAACTTGCCAGGAATTTCCTGTAATTTCACAGGATGGAATACTGTAAATATTACAGCAAAATGTAATATTTACGGCAACTCAGTAGCCAGGAATTTCCTGTAATTTTAGGGATTTACTGTAATTTCACAGGACAGAATATTGTAAATATTACAATTAAATATTGTAACTTGGACATATGTCCTCTTTCAGACTTCTGCAAAGAAAAGCAAAACAAGTGGTATTTTTGTTGTTTTTTGATATTTTTATTTTCTCTTAAAATTGAAGAGTTAACAGAGTGCACAATGCACAAACAATCATTCCTCATTCCTCAATTATTTATTTTCAACAACAATCTTTAACATGTAAAATTCACGGTCCCTGTATGTACTAAGACTATTTTAGTAACACATGGCTAAAACAAGCCTGGTTTTGTGTAAAAAATTTATATCATTGCAATACAAAAATAGAAGCTTTCCACTAGAGAGCCCTGCTGCTATTACTGTACCAAACTGGTTGAACGTGAGTTGTAAAACATTTCAGAAATCTAAAACATGAGTAATCTAACAAAAGAGGAATATTCAGCCTTTTCAAGCACATCAATCCAATACTGTGGTCACAACACAGTATCACGCCAAAGCGTGTAATACACACGCCGGTGTCCTCCACACGCCTTTTATATCACTAGCGTGTGGAGGACACGGTCATGGTAACGCCTTAATATGAACGTGCAGTACCAGCAGATGGCAGTCATTTACTCATTGTCAACAACTATTACAACAACTACATGGAGCAGAGGAAGAAATCAGTCGCCATTTTTACAGATCCCGACCCACCAGGTAAGTCCGTGATATGTTGCTGATTTTAATTTTTGTTTATGATGACTTTGTGTTGGATATGTTCTAGCCCGCCTATGTGTCTTACTATGTTTATTGGATTTGATGAGAGTCGGTAGAGATCTGAAGGTTATTAACTTGAGATTAAACTGGAGGACTCGGTATTAAACGCTAGCTATTTTAGCAATTAGCTTTACAACTAACGTCATATAAAAGTATGTTTCAGCTTTAAATTATTAAGGGGAAGTCTTGGTTAATGTTAATTATGACCCCGCGACACTTTACGGAGGTCCGTTGTTTCCTTCTCTCTCTTTTTTTTTTTTTTTTATCGTTTTCAGCAGGTCCGGTCAGCCAAGGTCCTTTTAAACAGCGCTAATGATGTTTTAGCCTGCCTATGAAGTTAACGTTATATGTACGTGTGCACAAGCATAAGAGGACTTCTTAAAATGTCCCCTAAAGGGACATGATAAAAAAAAAACGTTTCTAGTGAGCTAATGTTAGATACAGATCAAGTGTTGTGGTGAATTAGCACATGGCTCATTTAAATATTAAAATTAGCCATGTGCTGATAGGTCACAACACGAAAATGTAACCAATGAAATTACTTATTTTGACACACATTTTAAGCCAATAAGTCTTAAACTAACAAGGTAATGTGTCAGAAGGTGGACTGTTTTTGTTATTTTCTCAAAAGGAGGACAAATGAGTGTCCGACTGCAGGACAGGGCATTTAAATGCGGAATGTAACAAAAAAGGTTACAGATGAATTAGTTATCTAATATATAGTAATATAATTAGTATCTAGTGCTCACAAGATAGTATATGAGCCTCTCTGTGTCCAGTCTATTAATGTCTCTCCAGTCTGCTCCCATTTTACATATTCCTACAACAAGTTAGTTTTGCAGCCACAATCTTGCAGTGAAGTTGTCTAAATGGCATATTTAATTCATTTTGAGGAATTCTGCACAATCCTGTAGATATGTATTGTCCACAATATCCACTGTGTTTTGCTAGCATGCTTGTAGTTGACACGTTGAAGATGACTAAGAATTCAGTATTTGCTCTTTGTGAAATCCAAAAAGGCTTGCTGCAAGATAATTGACCATGTTTTTTATTTTCTTCTGTCCAACAGCTCCAGCCCATACTCCCTCCTACCTTTACCTCTCCTTGGCTTTTTCTATAGTAAACCAACGGCTCTTTTAAGAGCCACTCCTCTACTGCACTCGCTCTCTCTCTTTCTCTCACACACGCTCACATACCCCTCTCTATCTGTCACTCACACACACACACACACACACACACACACACACCTCTCTTTTTCTCACACACATACACAGCTTCATCTCTGTCTATAATCTATCTGTCGCTCTGTCTGTCTTCTGTTTGTCTGTCTATCTTTCTGTTTCAGAGACATGCCAGGCCAGGGGTCAACCTCAAGAGAGTGTGTGGCCTGTCATGCTATCATAAACGTAGCTTGCAAAACCTGCAAAATATGCAAGGCAGGACAGCCACATAAATTGAGGCTTAAAAAGAAACTTTAACTAAATTTGATGAGAAACGGGAGAGCTGGGTCCAAACAAACAAGAAAAACAGGACTGTATCTCATATCCACGATGAAGCAAATATATTGGTATGATATTCCTTTTTGTTGTTTTAATGCAGTGCAATTTGCAAATGTTGATATGAATGTTAATATTAATGTTATCTCTTACTTTTCTTTTGTGTGTGTCCTTTTTAGCTTGAAAAACTGCAGGCCCTGGGTGTAAGGGCAATGCTCTTTACAGCAAAACCTGGCAAAAAACCAAACACCTGGCTGTCCGAGGTGCTAGCGCCCCGTTGCCAATTGACAGAGTACGCCACTACATGTGTGGACAGAATGAAGGACCTTTATGGACTTCTTGTTCACGGTAAGAATGGTCTGTTATTTTTTTTATAAGGTGAGTCTTCTGTGTTTGGTTTTCAGCTTTGTGGTCACAGTCACGATGAGTAACCCATTTCGCAATGCTTAAGCTCTGTGGGTTGAGGAGATGGAAATTTTTTACAAACTTATATAGATGTGCAGGTTTTTTCAGTCACTCATTGAGTTTTAGGCAACACCCTAAACCTATTGCTCTATGCACGTTGAGGGCTGTATACTTTTACTTACCTTTGTAGTTAGTAACACTGATCCTAGCGGAGTAAAAAGCTATTGCTGATGAGTCCACACATTTTTCTGGCTAAACTGCCCTCCAAGAAGGGTAATAACAGAAGTAAAATCAATTTGAAAATTATTTGAATAGATACCTAATTGAACATCCATCCATCCATTCATTCTCTACCGCTATCGCTGTTGAGACCAAGATGGGTTGGAGCCTATCCCAGCATCTTTCGGGCAAGTACACAAGTACTTGTAAGTTGCCAGTTAATCACACAGAACATGCAAAGTCCACACAGAAAAATCCAGGAGAATCTGAGAATTTTGATTAAGTTAATGGAACATCTTCCTCTACTGCTGTCCACTGTGATTGACTGTTCAGCTGACAGCAGCCTGGCAGGAGAAATGCTTTGTGGTATACTTTTTTAATTGAACTATGAGCAGGACACTCACTTTCTGACCAAATGCAAAATTTAAAATTTTGGCATCACCAATAACAAAGAAAGGCAACTAACAAATATTAAAAATCATGTTGAACAGCCAAATCCAGTTCAACTGAAAATCTTTTTGGTAAAGCCCTAGTTAACTCTGTATTTTACAATATACTACTATATTGCACATTGCGTTTATAACATAAACCGCATTGAAAACATAATTACTCCTAATTCTCTGCTATGCAGACTGGGTCCCACAAGATGCTACAGAACAGTTGGATGAACCCTCATCAGCCCCAGTTGAACCACCAATTGGACCAGTCGCTCCACCAGATCCCCAGCAAACATGGGCTATACCTGATCCCCCCAGCAGCCCCAACTGGACCACTAATGGCCCAACCAGACCCACCAGTAGCAGTGGCTTCATTTTTATCCCACAGCAACCTCGGCTACATCAGTCAAGTCCCTGACTAGGCCACCAGCAGCCCAAACTGAACCATCATCATCTGGACCCCATTCCTCAGAGGGAACTCCAGCAGCCCCAGTTTCTTTAGAAAAAGGTATGTAGGAAACAAATAGCAAACCCCACAAAACCATATTGTTACTTTGTGTAATGTGAAAATGTAAATAAATCCTCAGCACCAGACATCCCATTGTGTATAAGAATGGCAGAAATGGATATTAAAAAAATAAGGATAGAAAAGAAAACAGGTTATTGGATTAAGCTGTTATCATTACATATCATACATCACGCCTGTATCTATGATTCTCCAACTTTTTCTGACCTTCCCACCTTCAGAGGCCAGGGGCCTAGACTGTATTAGGACACTTAGGGTCCTATTTAGTTGTTCTATAGTGCATAGTCCATAAAGCATGGAGCACACACATTTACAGCACTGTGCTGTGTTTTGCTGTGCACCACATTGCGCCAGGCAAAAATAGAGCCCTGATTGTCTCTGGGTGTTCATATGGCTTCCGGTGCTTCAGGTGCATAGACACTTTCAGGATTTGATTTAAGTATTTCACGTTATTAATGTGGATGTGGAGGATGTGACAGTAACATGTTAAATATGAAGTACAACTATGGTGCTGTAGAATCATCCACTGTGTATTAATTCCTTCATTGCGATGATGTTAGTACAAAAGGAATGTACAAGTAATTCAGTAATTCGGCAGCTAGAAATGTTTGTATTAGCCTGCTAAAGCCAGGTTATCCTTAAGGGGGCAATTCACCCACAATGTTCACTGTGTGCTGCCATTAATCCCTAATGAAGAGCATCTTAATTATGAGCTTTCATGGTGAACTTATATTACAAAATTGTCATCTCTGATGCAATAGAAAAGCACTGGATCTATACATTTTTTTTATTGTTTGTTATTCACATTGATGTAATATTAAGCACATTTTTTAATCATGATCACACATTTTATATCCTTTCCTGTAATAGATAACATTGAAGAAGGCTGTTCAGCTCCCAGTGCAGTGCTGCGACGAAAGAGGAAAGGTGTGTCATAATGTCAATCCATAAATGTCAGAATATGGTTTAAAAATGTGTGTATATAATTGTAATTGTTTTGTCATCAAATATTTTTTTGCCATAATAGTGTCAGAGCCAAGTCAGTACACGGTCATAGAGGAGTAAAGAAATTAAAACGTATTCACACCTGAGAGGCTAAAATCATAATAAAATAAATTAATACTTGATTAATGTAATAGTTGATCAATAGTTGATTAATTGTTATCAATTCACTCTAAATGTCACTCTAAATAAATGTGCTTATAGTTTGAATGCTCCACCTTTCATTTTAAATGTGTCCGGTAGTGTGGGATTTGCATTGGTCTAGTCTTGGTCATCACTTGGTCTCAGTTTAGATGTTAAGTAAGAGCATTAGCTGACAGTGAATGAGACTGTAATCTTTTATTTTCCCCACTGGTCTCATTGCTACACGTTTCCCTTAATTCATACAGTAAGTGTGTCCATTCTTTGTAAACAGACATGTCTACTAACACATGATTTTGAAGTGATCTTGGTTGTCGAAGACAAAAATACCCTAGTCTCTGCTGTGAAGTGCTCTACACTTCCATGACACAGTAATTTGAATTGATTTTGATTGATTTGAGCACTGATTGCCAATATATTTATCCTATCACCCATCTCTATAGTCCATTGATCACAGTAATTTACCAATGATGCATGCAAGCTCTGTACCAGAATAACTGCAATAAAGAGTCCACCAGTCTGTAAAGGTTTAGTGTAGTATTAAGATTTTTTAACCTCATATTTTCCCTTTCAGAATGCCCACATACAGTGTCAGGGAGCCAAGATTTCTACCCTGTGAAGAGGGTTGCCAAATGCAAAGTTGTAAAGGTTCAATAATCCCACACAGTCAGAGTCATTCACCTGCCGTAATCATAAGGAATTCAAAAGATATTATTTCTTTATGGGTTACTTCCTGTCTGTCATTGTTGGTTCTTCATATAGTGGATAAAGTCTATAAAAGCAACCTCTGAACTCCAAGTTTTTTAGAAAGTCTCATGTTAGAGAATCTTCCAGTCAAAAAGTGCTGATAGTTTTTCTGTAATCTTTGTAATAATCCTGAAAAAGTAGTCAAGACAGTGGTATAGCCAAATATTTGAACTGAAAAAGTCTCTTTGTTTTTTAGGGACAAAAATTGAAGCTGGTGGAGTGGGAGCCGTGCAAACTCTGGTATGTATGACTTCTGATTTGTCATAGTTTACATGTTATGTTGTTTTCTCCTAATCTGTCTCCAGTCTTACTTGACACCAACACTGAGAACATTCACATGAACACCAATAATCTAGTCATGGCCAAAATTGTCCCCACACTAAACATTCAGTGCTGAAATAGCCTACATTATATAAAATGTATTAGTCTTCTAGGAGAAATGTGAAAAATAAATAAAGCCACATAGGTTTAGTCCATGATTATCCACCCTGTGAATATAGTGTCATTGAATATAAAGAGGCTGCAGTTGTCTCAGTCAGAAATTCTAAAACATCTATCATGCTTCTCTGCCAACAGCACCATTGTACAGAAGTCAGAAAGAGGCTTATTTAAAAATGCTAAAATTGTCCATCACTGCATCACTGCCTTACTCTCACTTTATTAGTGGATGATTGGTGTACATGCTAACATGATTGTATATGATACATTTTTGTATATGATAATCATTTAAAAGTTAAGTTTCCAGACATTCCCACCAAAAATAACACTGGTTGCTTACTTGAATCGAGGGTCTAATGACAGAGGGTGTCACATATTGTACATATTGTAAAGCCCAACAAAACAAATGCAATTTGTGATTTTGGCCATATGACATAAAACACCAACACAGTGGCTTGGTGGTTAGCACTGTTGCCTCACAGCAAGATGGAGATTAGATTCTCCTGGGATCTTTCTGTGTGGAGCTTGCATGTTCTCCCCTGTGTCTGCGTGGGTACTATGGCTCCCTCCCACCGCATTTTGGGGATAGGTTAATCTCGCCCAAAAGATGCTGGGATATGCTCCAGCCCCACTGTGACCCCAACAGGGATAAGTGGAAGAGAATGGATACATGAGTGACTTGTGTGCACCCCATGGTGTTCTTCTACAACCATTTCTTGACTATTAATTTACTGTCCATTTCATTAAAATCCACTACGATACAACTATTGGAAAATAGTCACAGGGGTCTAATGTGAGTCTTACTATGTCTGACTATGCATTTGCATAACCAAACATAACATCAGTTGCTTTCTTTTTTTGTGTTACAGTGGAAAGGACTGGCCTTTGGAGTGGGTGCCGGAGAAAGACACCACTTGCTAATGTTGCCAAAGTGCAGATGGGACTGCAGTGCCCTTGTGTTTGTCATGTTGTTTTGTTATTTGTTTGTTCTGCAGTGTTGCCAATTATTGCCACTTGAAGCAATGAGTGTTCATTTGCAGTACTTTCTTTAATAAATACATACCAAATTAAGTCTTCTTTAATATCATTGGTACATTGTTCTTGGAGATAATACTATAGGAAGGCTGGCTCTGTAATTGGAGCCAAGATGGATTCAGGGGGATGTGGTGGAGAGATACACAATGAAGACGATGGAGGCCATCCTGAACAACATGGTTCAACCACTTAACACCTTGATGGACCAAAGAAACAACAGGCTCCTATCTCTCCACTCAAGGACTCAGAGATACTGGACATATTGTGTACCTACAGTCATCAGGCTTTACACTTCTTTGATCAAAAGATGAGCTGACAGACATTTGAATTTCCCTTTGGGGATGAATAAAGTGATTATTATCTAATACGTTTATCATTCTAATTCATGTTATCTACATTTGGGCAAAAATATAAGTACATTCTTCACACTCTTGTCTGTATGAAAACATTCTGGCCATACTATACTATGATTAAAATAAAAGTCCTCCAACCCAAACAAACACATAGGTTGCAACATCTTTACTTTTTATTAACAAAGATCATCTATATGCAATGCAAATATTAATTCGGCTGTAGTAGATATTTGATATATTCAACAAATATATTATTTTACGACCATATTTTACGTCACAACTTAGCAACTTGGAAGAACTACCGTCCACAAAACGCCATTTCTACAATACTACCTAAGATAGCAGAAATAAAGCAACATCTTTACTTTATCTCCACACAGATCGTCTAGTAGTTACTAGTTCGGCTATACCAGATATTTGATATATTCAGTAAAAATATCGTTTCATATCCGTATTTTACAAACCCAATTTACGACCCAAAAGTACCGCCCCAAAACGCAATTTCTAAGATATTGGTGATAATAGCAGCAATAAAGCAACGACTGTACTTTTTCTTAACATATATCATCTTGAAACAGCGTGATTACCAGTTCGGCTCTACCAGATATTTCATATATTCAGAAGAAATATAATTTTACAACCCTACTTTATGACCCAAAACTACCGCCCCCAAAGCGCAATTTCTAGGATATAAGCGAATATATCCGAAATAAAGCAACGTATATACCTTTTCTTAACATAGATTATCTAGATACAGTCCGATTACTACTTCGGCTGTACCAGATATTTCATATATTCAGTATAAATATAATTTCATAACCCTATTTTACAGCCAAACTTGAAGCTTTCTATAAGCACCAAGTTCAAGGTTTAAAGGTCAATATTTTAAAGCAGGCGCTATGTAGAGTCTTCATACTGATATATGTTACTCTCCAGGCCGAGACCTTTCCAATGATGTATTTGGTTTAGCTCTATGACAAAGTTTTAACTTTCACATTTCATGGACCCAAGCCATCACAGGCTTAGTTTCTAAGAGCACTTTGAAGGACCAGTGGATAAAATGAAGCTCTTGTTTATTTGTTTGTTATTTATTAGTGGAATTAGGGACCAAAATGAGTCACTTTAGGAGATTGTAATACTAATGACAATCTAGGGCAGTACTAGAGGTTTTGAATTCTGATTCTGATTCTGATTCTGATCTGATCTGATTCTGAAGAAGGCCTGAATTGCTTGATTTAGAGTTAGACCCATTCTTAGTCATACATTAGCTATTAACACAACCCTGGATATTTGTCATATATATATAATATATATGTTTGGATATATGGATATATATATATGTATATATGTTTTTATGATTATGCAACAGCAGGGGTTGGATGTAATGCCAAATGGAAAGCCCAGTTTGATTAAATATGTGAAAATGACAAGTGCAAAGATATAGAGATTTAATGCACACGCATGGACTGTGTGTATCTCTATTGAGGATGACTTTTAAGCTGCATGTACAAACACCTATAGGGTCGTTTTTTGGGGGAAGGACAGCCTCTTAAAATAATGTGAAATGTGTCCAATCAATCACATAATTATTTTTTCTCATAAGCTTTTTGACTTAAAGTATTATTGCAGATGTTTTGTCAACAGTAAAAGTGCATCATATAAAGTAAGGTGCTGCTTAGGGATACAAGACCAAACATTTGTATATGACAGCAAATAGCCAACTACTACTACTACTACTACTAATGATAATAATAACAATATTAACTGTTGTTTATTTGTGTCTATAGTCTACCAAAAATAAATAAATAAAATAATTGGAAAACAGAGTTACAAACAGAAAAAATAAATATTCACACATTTTATTTTCATAGACATTAACAACACTTTAGCATGAACAAGTTTACAAGCACTGCAACACATTTTTATGCATGCCTCATGTAATGCTATGACAAACTACTTCCTTTAGTTGGTAAAGTAATGACTGCAAACACTACACTCAAGACTCAACTATTGTTATTGATCATATGTATGTTTTGGAAAGTATTTTATGTAGTGACATGTACATAAGCTCACTCCAAAGATTAGTCACACTATCACCATGAATGACATCATACAGGAGCACACAGTATGAAATATATTACATCCAGTGGCAGAGTATAAAATTCCTTTATATAAAGAAAAGCATTGATAACACACTTTAAAAAATACTCCACTACAACAGAGTGCATTATAAAAGGGTACAACAAATAGATAATACAGAAAATACTACAGGAATGCAACTAACAACTGTTTTCCAACTCGATAAATCAATCTATTATTTTATAGATTGATCAATTAAAACTTAATTTTTTGCAGTCCAATCAGAATTGCCATAAAACCCACCCGTCAAGAAGCACAGATTTACAATGCCTCAAAATCACTGTCTTCTGAACTGTCATCCAGTTCTGTCTGGCACTCCGGTATTTCTTGGGGCCAGTCCTCCAGCAAAGATGCAGCATTTGGTCCCAGGGCCTGGCTGTAACTTGCACATACAAGTTGGAACTTCTCATCCACATCTGCAAGCCTTTTCTGAAGAAGACACTGTAGCCCTCGATGTCCCACTTCGCTTAAACTTCCTAGAAGGAAAAATGTAAGAGGCATAATTTCACTGAGTTTGTGATGTTCAACTAGACCTTCACTAACTTTAGAGAAGAAGTACAGAATTTACATTCTGCCACAAGGAATTCAAAACACTACTAGATACTTCTTCTGATCAGTAGTCTGAACCTATCCTATCAAGTTAGGGTTGAGTCAGAGATTACTGTGGCAGGGGAAATGTCACTCACAAAAATCAATAGGATTGTTCCTGTAGTGGTCATAAATTTGGACAGTAAATTTAACATGTGTACTGTTCCAAACCAAGATCTGTAGTGGTGGTACAAGTGTGGTACATGGGTACAAATCCATAGTATGCCCCAAACTGTAGCTGCAAGGACATACAAGTTAACCTACCACTGGTCCTGACAGTGGACATTTCTGACATCTTTGTCCTGATGTTCTCAGCCAGTCCTCTGAGGTAGGTGCAGTGCTGTCTCATCTCCCTCACCACAATGACCCTTTCTTCCTGAAGCCTCATTTTTGACATGTATGCATCAAAAATCTTCTTCTTGGTGAGGATATTGCTGGATTCTGACGGAATACAAACAACATTCAATCAAAACAACGTTGAGCTATACATACATACATACATAAAAAGTGTAGATCCAAATGGCAACAAGTATTTGAAAAGTATAGAAATGACACTCAAAGACACCACAGCTGCCCAAACATTACATAATTAACACTGTAAAGTGAGCAAGATCTTTTGTGTGGCATACCTGTATGTATAGAGTAGCATATATGTCATATCTTTAGTTTGGTCAATCATGATCAGAAACTTATGATCACTTTAGAGAAAAAATGTCCCATACCACTGCTGTGCACTTCCCATGGCCATATCAGATCTGCCCCAGTGTCTCCTCCAACCACAGAGAGTCTGCTCTCCACCTTCACCACATCGATCTGCTCCTCATTAGACACCTGCTCATTATAGAGCTTGATTGTCTCAGGAGTTTCTTCTTCTCTTCCCTGAATTTCCTTCTACGCAAGTGTCGAATTTTGTTGCTATCTATAAAGTTAGAAACCACAGAAATTATGCACATATGTGTGTATGCAGACATCGGATGGTAGAAATATTACATGCGTTTTCAACATACCAGTTTGAGTATAAAGGCTGGCTTTTTTCTGATGGACACTAAGAAACATTTGTTCAATGGACTGCTGAAGATTCTGCTGTTCATCGCATTGGGTACCTAGAGAATCTTAATAAAAACAACAACAATAAAAATATAAGTAAACATTTCATATTTCATTTAGGTAGTGCATTGAAAGAGTTCAAAATATAAGTTAAGCTGACTTTTGGTCTTGGGGAAAGCAGACCATACAGTCTCAGTTATTCCATTGATCATTATCTTACATTATTACTGAATAAATTAGCCATAAAATACAGTACCATCAGCAGCCCATTGTTTGACATCGTGTACCCACTGCTGCACCATGTTCTCAGGACACCCAAGCTCTCTGCTCAAATCTTCCAGCGTCTGAGACTCTTCTTGAGCCTTTTGGAAAGTCTACAGTAAAGTAAATAAACAAACTTTGCCATCTTCTTAAAATCTTAGAAAAGTGAGGAAAATCATGAAAAGCGCAGTATGAGGTAATCATGTTGTCAGTCATGTTTTCCAACCACATTTACACACAGAACTAATATTGTTTGTCAGCTTTGTCACATGGCATCTGGTCAATACCTTGACATATCTGCTGGATAAAGCAAGATGAAGGCCATCCTGCTTCCGTTGGTTCCAACCAATGGCGTGGATCGTTAGCATGTCATTCCGGGCTTAAAAAGAACATACATTGCAAGGAGGAAAGTCCCATTAATGGTCATGGTACATGCATTCACAACTGAGCTTTAATTAGAGACAAATAGAAGTTTTATTAATGCATTATAATATTAGAATAAAAATTAAGAATATCTCATGCTGTACAAAGTATTAGAATGAAAAGAAGAATAAAAGACTAGAATGTAATATAAATAAGGAATACTTACCAGATTTTGTCATGTACTTAGTCGTGAGAGCACATCGGGAAAGGAAGCTGTTGACCATTTCCACCTCCTCCCCTGCAGTTGTTCCAGCACCCTCCTGATTCCTGCCACTCCATGTGATCTAACAAATCACAGGGAAACCTGTCATATATATTATTTAAGTACTGAAGCAGTTACACTTGTTTTAATTATGAATATGTAGTACCTCACACTTGGTGGAATGGGCCTTAGCATGCATCACAGAGAGGAATGGCCTCATCTGTAGCAAAGGTCTGAGGTCTGAGTTTGGCCATATAATGTATTTAAATAACAGTGCAAATACTACTAACACTTTTCATTTTGCTCTGGACGTCCTCAACAAAATGATGTACGTCACAATCCTTGGCAATGAAAGTGCCATCAAAATATGGCTCCTCTGACCTTAATGAGATAAGAAAAAAAAGATTATGTTCGTGGGTCTCAGACATTATTTATTCAGCTAATTTTAAAAAGTGTAAATTACCTCACCCCTTTGACTGTCGAAATCTGTATTGTTTTCGGTTGCCATCTGCACAGAGAGCCAGCATGTTCGGTGTACATGCAGGACAGGTGAACTGTTTAACACAGGCCATTTTGTCACACTGGAACTGGCAGAATGTATACTTCATGAAGCTTCTCTGGAATATGTCTCCATGTATTTTCCCAGCCTGTCAATTTGTAAAAAGTTACATGAAATAGCTAAAGTAATATTCTCCAATCTCTACAACAGTCATCCACACTGAACCTACCCTTCCAAAGTGAGAAGTTCTCCTCTCTAACATCCGCAAAAAAAGCTTGCCTGGACAAACTGGGTGCAACAGTTTTCATTTCTTCAAATGTGCTGAAGACATCAACTGAAAACAACGTCTCAGCATTTACAGTTGCTGGCCAGTAGCCACTCTTTATAAGGTCGCTTCTGTCAGGTGTCCACTGTGCCAGGCACAATCTGCACAACAACTTTGGCATGTGCAAATCATACCGACCTAAAAACAAAAAAAGAAATACGATAAATATGTGGTTATTTTGAGACATACAACTTAAATAAATTGATAGTCCATACCATTTATGGAAACCAAGATAACTGCTCTGCCAGCTGACTCTGTAATGTTTTCAGGGTCACAGGTGCATAGCTGGGAAGGTCTCACTGTAGGCAACAGTCGCACTGAAAAGAGAGGTTCAGTAACTAGGGAGAAGACTTAAAAATTTATCCAATTAAGATTTTTATCTAAACTAAAAGGTCAAACATAACTTTAAGCACTTAACCAAAAGGATCAGAATAATACCTTGATTGACCAGACAGTATGCGCCATCCTTTTCTACGCAGCACACTGTTGGCTCAATGGGCTTGTAAATCCCATCAATGCAAGACTCCCTGTTATGGAGTGTGAGTTTAAAATGAATGTGTATATCACATTCCATACACAGCCACTCTTCTGGCATGCAGTCTCTGCAGCAAATTATAGCAGGGGAGGTGCAATGACAGCACTTCCTTTTTGGGACCTCATTGCAGGACAGTAAACAGTTCAGGTGATGGGACCGTGCTTTCCGCCACTCGTCTTGAGCAGCAGACTGTCGCAAGCACCATGATGTGGACGTTGAAGGCTGCTCTTCCATATTCTGAACATTTGCTGTAGTCAGAATGTCCTTTAAGCTCTGCATCTCAGTGTCTTAAACACAGATAAAATAAACATTAAATAATTAAACATTCCTACACACTGTGTCCTAACTTAATTACACTTAATTGAATACTTAATTACAATTAAGTATCATCTTACCAAATACATATTGACAACAGGTGTCTTGGGTCACTGTGGGAACCTCCTCAGCAGGCTCAAAGAAGTAGAAGCCTCCTTAGGGGCAACAGAAACTGAAAAGATTGATAAAAAAGGAAAGACAAAAAGTCAATCTGTATAGAATATACAGTATGTATTGTAACATAAGGCTGCACAGTTAAATCTGGATTCTTAGCCTCCCTTCCCTGCATAGGCTGCTGCCCCCCGACCCGACCCCGGATAAGCGGTAGAAGATTCTTTGCACTTGAGGATCAAAAGACATAATCTGGAAACAGATCTAACTGACACAAATCTCAGTCTCCTTAACAGAAGAATGGGACAACACATCAGGGAACTTGACTCCATATCTTTGCATTTGTTTAGCATAACAGTAGTTGACATTTGAGCTTATGTAGTGTAAAGATGTTTCTGGTCCCGGAAAATATATTTTAACAAATGTAACAGATCCAACCTGTGGCCTTTTTTGGCACCATAGACAAATAGAAAGGAAACAGACATACAGTGGAAAACCCACCCGGTTCGGTGGTCTATGTTTTAAATGTAAAAAAACTGTACATTAGCTTAATTTTAAATACTATGGACACAGTTACTTGTTATTACTCATTTGATTAGGGTAATGACAAGTTATCTTGCAAGACATGAAATACCTGTAGCCGATGCACGTTTTTTCCGTGTCTCTCCACTTCTGCTTCTTTTTAAGATTCGACGTCCATCTGCATCTCTCTCCACCCATCGGACAGTAGGCTTACTGCCTTCAGCAGGTGTAGTGGATGCAGATTTTTCTTTGCCTCCCTTTCCTTTCATGAGAAAGCGTGCATTGTATGATAACACTGAAATTCAGAACACTTACAAATTGCCATGTTTTAGTATTATCACAAATACTCAAGACTCACTTTATATTCAGCCAGTAACTTCTCTGCTAGGAAAAGAGCATCCGCTGCCTTCCCACTGCCCCGCGGATCAGCCATTTAAGGCAGACGCAGACAAACAGACAGGTAAACAAACAAACAAACATATATATATTTATATATAGAGAGAGAGAGAGAGAGAGAGAGAGAGAGAGAGCGAGTGAGAGAGAGAAAGAGATAGAGAGGGGTGTGTGAGCGTGTGTGAGAGAAAGAGAGTGAGTGAGTGCAGTAGAGGAGTGGCTCTTAAAAGAGCCGTTGGTTTACTATAGAAAAAGCCAAGGAGAGGTAAAGGTAGGAGGGGGTATGGGCTGGTGCTGTTGGACAGAAAAAGATAAAAACATGGTCAATTATCTTGCAGCAAGCCTTTTTGGATTTCACAAAGAGCAAATACTGAATTCTTAGTCATCTTCAACGTGTCAACTACAAGCATGCTAGCAAAACACAGTGGATATTGTGGACAATACAGATCTACAGGATTGTGCTGAATTCCTCAAAATGAATTAAATATGCCGTTTAGACAACTTCACTGCAAGATTGTGGCTGCAAAACTAACTTGTTGTAGGAATATGTAAAATGGGAGCAGACTGGAGAGACATTAATAGACTGGACACAGAGAGGCTCATATACTATCTTGTGAGCACTAGATACTAATTATATTACTATATATTAGATAACTAATTCATCTGTAACCTTTTTTGTTACATTCCGCATTTAAATGCCCTGTCCTGCAGTCGGACACTCATTTGTCCTCCTTTTGAGAAAATAACAAAAACAGTCCACCTTCTGACACATTACCTTGTTAGTTTAAGACTTATTGGCTTAAAATGTGTGTCAAAATAAGTAATTTCATTGGTTACATTTTCGTGTTGTGACCTATCAGCACATGGCTAATTTTAATATTTAAATGAGCCATGTGCTAATTCACCACAACACTTGATCTGTATCTAACATTAGCTCACTAGAAACGTTTTTTTTTTATCATGTCCCTTTAGGGGACATTTTAAGAAGTCCTCTTATGCTTGTGCACACGTACATATAACGTTAACTTCATAGGCAGGCTAAAACATCATTAGCGCTGTTTAAAAGGACCTTGGCTGACCGGACCTGCTGAAAACGATAAAAAAAAAAAAAAAGAGAGAGAAGGAAACAACGGACCTCCGTAAAGTGTCGCGGGGTCATAATTAACATTAACCAAGACTTCCCCTTAATAATTTAAAGCTGAAACATACTTTTATATGACGTTAGTTGTAAAGCTAATTGCTAAAATAGCTAGCGTTTAATACCGAGTCCTCCAGTTTAATCTCAAGTTAATAACCTTCAGATCTCTACCGACTCTCATCAAATCCAATAAACATAGTAAGACACATAGGCGGGCTAGAACATATCCAACACAAAGTCATCATAAACAAAAATTAAAATCAGCAACATATCATGGACTTACCTGGTGGGTCGGGATCTGTAAAAATGGCGACTGATTTCTTCCTCTGCTCCATGTAGTTGTTGTAATAGTTGTTGACAATGAGTAAATGACTGCCATCTGCTGGTACTGCACGTTCATATTAAGGCGTTACCATGACCGTGTCCTCCACACGCTAGTGATATAAAAGGCGTGTGGAGGACACCGGCGTGTGTATTACACGCTTTGGCGTGATACTGGTGATCAAGTTTGCTGATAGAGACATGTCCCCCTGCCCTCTAATGCCCCCCTGTCCACCAATGTCCCCTGCCCACCAATTCAAAATCCAGCAGTTTTCTCAAAAGTGTGCAAACTGGTGCGTTCAGCCCTCGTTTTTTCTCTGCCTTGCTGCCCGTCTGGGGATTTATGCCACAATAGGTTCTGAAAACAGGGGGAAAAAAATCTTTCAGACAAAACTTTCATCTTGTTGGATAGCTGCACATTGTTATAGCTAGCAAACACAGGTCCCGCCCTACTCTGCTTCTGATTGGCTAAACACGTTTTTATTTTTTTAAGTGAAAGCTGCTATTGGTTTTGGGGAACTCAAAAAATTATAAACCATCCCGAATTTCTATCCTAATGAAAATTTCTTCACAACCCTGTCATGCCGGAGATCTGGCACGGTGCCGGAATACTTTAACCCGAGTGTGTGCCTGTGAGAGATTGATTGAGTGTCATGTGTGTGCGATCGTCATCCCTCTCTCTCCATCCCCTCTCCTCTCTCACCCCTTTCTCACTAAATTGGACAGCATTATTTGAGTTTTTTCTTATACCTGCAAAGTAATGTGTAAAATCCGATCACTCAAAATGCGAAGTAATATGTTTTTGTATTAAGTGGGCCGGGCCAACTTACTGACATTTCTAACTAACAAAAATGTCAATTACAGAAAAGTCACAAACATTAATTAAGATCGCTTCATATATCATGTCATTGCTATGATCGTTTTCATGACAGTGCCATGTTTAAACTCACCTCTGGATGAACTCAAGTGTGCTTGCGGCTTCTGCCGGATATTGCAAGTTGAAGACATAGTAGGCAGCGAAGACTGCTGCCAATCCATGCAGGAGGTTGCTGTGGGGCCCCATCACACATGCTCCTTCCATGGACATAATCCACGTGTCTACGCCGCACAGTATCTCTCCTGAAACCCATTAACAATATCATAACTAAAAACTGCATTAGAGCCACCTAACACTAGAGCCACCTAACATGAATTCATTAATGTTCATGTTGGAGCAACAGTCCTCCCTCAACCACATGAGTTCTTTAAAGAATTAATTTCTACAAAATAAGGGAAGATTATACCTGGTACAACTAATCGAGGTGTGCTTGGCAGGGTGACAGCTCTCTCGATATCGGCAGCCGTGGCAGAGGGCTGGAGAATAAAAACTATAAGTTAACCATGGGTAAGTTGAGTGAACAAGGACAAAGAAAACTTGCCCCAAAAGCTGTCATGTTCTACTCAACACCATGGGGGAAATCAGCTTCAGTTTATGGTGCCAAATGTAGAAACAGCTGCACATGGCAAATATTTTTAAAATATGGATGCTATGGCAATAAAACATTAAATTAAAATTATTTTATGAACTACATGGCAGGAAGCAATGGCTAACCCATCAGAGTCTAGCCTGGATCAGACCACAGACTCCATCCACTTCACTGAGTAGGCTCCGTCTCAGGTCTGGATTCCCCCATTCAGAGCAACAAGTACAGCCAGACCGGGAGAATGTTAGCCCAATGAGCGCTGGGGGTGGATGAGACTAAAAGTGATGAACCAATCAGCCGAGGGCCCCTTTTCAAGCAATGTCTGTCTATGCGCTGACTGCCTCGGAGATCGGAGAATATCAATAGTGCGATTGAGGCAGTTTTAGTAAAACACACGGTTTACTGGAATAACTGCTCTGAAACCAGAACAGTATTCTGCATGGAGAGCTTTTTTAGAAGGAACGACGTCTCCGAACTGGCAATGGGAAAAGTTTTCTTTTGAAAAGGTATCTAAAGCCCTGGCCCTTTGTAAACGCTTTGAATGAGACGGGTGTCTTATACTTATATAATCAGATTCTATGGAGTATTAGAATAACTTGTGCAAAGTGTCCATAGCAAAGGATGGGGCTGGTGACTGATTTTTGGTAATTAACAATTACAAAATAGCAGGACAGAGATGGGAGGGAGGGAGGGAGGGAGGGAGTGAGGGAATGGTTAATTTATGTATATGCACTGCAAGTTATACTCACATCAGCCGTAAGGAAGATACCATCTCCCTCCTTGAAGTGAGCAAGC